TCCATTGTGAGGGAAGCTGGTACAGAACGGGCTGGATTATGCTAATGACTTACAAGTAGCTACCACTGCTCACTCTATCCAACCTAATTCCTGGTGAGTGAAAAACCCAAGACCTCCATTTTATTTAGCCTACTTTTAGCAAGCTCTGTCTATCCTGACTGCAGCCAGGCATAACTCAAATCATGGCTCTCGTTACCTCTCCTTTAGCCAAGTACGGACATGAGCAATATGACAGAAACTTTGAGCCATGCGAAATATCCAGTCATCTTCAGAATCCAATACAAAAGATGTATTGGGGGACGGGGAATCTTTTTCAGCCCAAGGCTGCATTCCCTTCTAGGCAACTTCCTGAGGGCTACATGCCAGTGGAGGGAGGGAACAGAGGCAAAGGGGGGGGGAGCACATTTCAGCCAGACACGGGGTGTGGCTTGGGAGAGTTCTGAGGGCCAGGTAAAGAGGCCTTAGAAGGCTGTATTCAGCCCCCAGGCCAGAAATCCCCCAACCCTGATATAATAATAATAATAATAATAATAATAATAATAATACTATTTATACCCCACCACCCATCTGGCTTCGTTTCCCTAGCCACTCCGGACAGCTCCCCACAGAACACTAAAAACAGAATAAAACTTCAAACATAAAAACTTCCCTAAACAGGGCTGCCTTCAGATGTCTTCTAAAAGGCAGATAGTTGTTTATATCCTTGACATCTGATGGGAGGGCATTCCATAGAGTGGGTGCCACTACTGAGAAGGCCCTCTGCTTGATTTAAGATAGTGAAGCTGGATAAATTTGAAGTAGCATAAACAACAGTTTTAATCATGAGGCTACTAAGGCCTTAGGCCCTCAGTTTTCCAGCTCAGTCACTAGGATGGGGGTGTGTCCAGTGACAGATCTGGGGGTCTCAAATTTCAGTGATGCCAAAATTTGGTGCCTCTTATGCTCCATTGTAAATCACAGTTGCAGTGCCTCTGAGGCTCTGGACCCAGTGCAATCAAACCAGCCACACTCTCTTAAATCTGCCTCTGGAAGACTCATGAATTTATGCCATCTTAAGCCACTTGGAGGAATGACCCCCTTTTCTCTCACTAGAGTCCAGGTTAGGTGGGGAAAGGGATTGACAGGCAGAATGACGTACTCCATTCACAGCTGTCAAAGGGAGTTTGAGGTAAACATCACAGAAGCAGGTAATTCTTCTGAAGATGAGAGATTTGTGCTTCTCCAATGCAGGAAGGTATGAGGGGGAGGTGAGACAGCTCTGCGGGACAGACACACTTCTTAATTTTGCTAATTTTTACTTGGCATGCGTCTCGAGAAAACATTTAGTAAGAGTTCAGAGTACATCAACATTTTGTGTTTGTGTAGGTAGGTAATGTTCTTGATGAACAGTACAGTTATTAATCTCACCACAGTTTCTTGTTATTAATTCAGTTACTCACACCCAAGCTTTGCATTACTTGCATCATTCTAAATTCTCTCAGTTGGGGAATTTTAAATTCAAATAAACATTTATGGGTAGGTAGGGCCTCCACCTTTATATGTAAAACAACAGACTATTTAGGGTCCAGTCAAGCTGCTAGTATAAATTCTATCCTGTTTTGCATAGAGTTGATGGCAGGTAGTACTTTAGATCTCATATACTTGGGGGGGGGGAGTTATCAAGCAAATTCTCCTAACTTGAATTTGATGTCATAAATAAATAGGCACTGGCCATCTTTTCCATTGTGCACTGAGAGTCTGGAGTGACGTTCTGGATGCAGGTATGTGAGGTGTGGAAAGATATCTTATTATTCAAAACACAGGAGGCTGGTCTCCAAGGTTCTAGTTTTGCTCATCCACACCATCAGCTGCTGGATCCTTGAAAACTAGGCACCCCAGAGGACTGGATGTGAGACCTTCTGCTTGCACAAGTTATGGTCCCCACCCCATTTTTTTCCATGCTGCTCTTTCTCCGAGGGATCTGAGCATGCATGGTGCTTTCAACTCTTTCTTTATCTACACAACAACCCTGTGAAGCAGATTAGGCTGAAATACAGTGGGTGCTTCCAGGTAGGGGTAGGTTGTTGAGACGGATCGTGCAGATTCAGTTTTTCTGTGTCTGTGATTGGCATGTTAGCCAAGAAAGATCATGCTCCATATTTCATAGAATCATAGAACTGTAGAACCATGCCCTTAGGTTCACAAACATGTTAGACCCAGTTCCTAATGAACATAGCTTTATGTATGGTTTGGATATCTGTGAAAATTCCTCTCCCCACCAAACAAATAATTCTATATGGTTGAAAAGATGACCCGGTATCTATATTTTATGCAAATACTTTGAGCAATGTGAATCTTAAGAAGATAATTCAAGGTATCACTGATCAATGCTGCTGATTGAGTATCCTATATAATGTCTTCCAGAATAGCATTGTTCTTCCTAATGCAAATCAATCAATTATGCTTCTTTAATGAAGTGACTGTGGCTTTATTGGATGGTAGTGACAAGAAATGGGAAGTAACGGCACAAATGAATTGAGTAAGGATATTGATTGGATTTGACCTTTGAGGAGAGGTATACTTAAAGTGAAGGAAAATTATTTTATTCCATGTGAACACGGGACTTTACTTTTGGGGTGGTACATACCACCCAACCACTAGGTAGTGCTACCTATTTTGACTTTTGTGTACCTAATGTGCTAAGATTAATATCCAGCTTTGCTAATGTACATAAACTATCTGATTCCTTTCTTTTTTTTACTTCTGTGCTCTGCTTCACAATGAACCTGAATGTTTCCCTTTGAGCTGAAGACTGCTCCTAGTAACAACTGGATTCTATATTTTCAGCAGCGACAACAAAATTGGGGCTCTCCCATGATTGTTTCTTCATTCTACATCTTCATTCCAAGTGTGGGGACCACATTTTGGCCCCAGACATGAGGCTCCCTAGCTCTTCGACTCTCTTCCTGAATGACTAGGTTATAACCAAAAACTGTTATAGAAGGAGGCTTCCTTTGCCCCTCCCTTGGCTGGGGACAATGCTGCCTATGTGGATGAGATCTGAGTAAGAGCGTGTCAGAGAGCTGAGTTTTGGATTCTGGAAAGCCAGCAATATTTCTGGGAGCAGGCTGGCAGTCTCCCTGGAAAACTGTTATGTAGAAGCCATGGATTTGGGCTATGTGTTGGAGTGGTTTAAGCATTGCCTCTGCATAGGTTGTAAGCAAACACAATTTTGTTTAAAAGGCCAATACCAGTGTCCTCCTTCCAGGGAGACGAAACCTGGGGAAGGCCTGCACCCCCTAGAACCTCTCACTGCTTGGAGAATTGGGCTGTGCCTGGCAACAGTAATCAATACATGAAGATAGTTTTAATCCACAAATCTATCAGAAATTTAATTTGAGAATTTACTATGTAAAACTTACATACGCTGGAAACTTCTTATAAAACAGGAAAATGAAATCAGTGGTGCTTTGATGCTTTTAACCTCCCATCTCTTCTCCCCTTAGACTTCAGTATTAGCCTTGCTCATGATTTTTCAACACACACACACACACACACACACCACACACACACACTGCTGCAGCATTTTCTTTAAAGAATCAATGGCCTTGTAGAACAGGAAAAGGGATGGATGCACAGTCCTTATACTATTCTGCACTGCCTCTCTGATGAGAAAAAGAGCAGGAAGCTTCAAGGCTGCCTCTTCTGGCTTTAAAAAGCTGAGACAGTTATTGGGGACACAAGAACAAACTGCTGTAGGCTTAGGATGAAGAGTGTGTGGGTTATCGCTAAAGGAAGTTAAAGTAAGTATTTTTTCCTTTTCTTTACTTTCTTTGTTTGCCTGGGCCACCCAAAACATGAGTTTTCTGGGCAGCTCACAAGAGAGAGAAAAAGCAACAGGAAAAATGAAATGCAATATCATAAAACAATAAATTGCTGCATGCTCCCCCCCCCTTTCCCCAGCAGATGAAAGGCAGATGGCACTGCAGATATACAATAAATAACAGATCAGGCATTGTGAACTAAGATTCTAAGATCACAAGCTAGATCAAGCTACTGTACATGTTACATTAGCTATGCACCTGTGTCTTTATGTGCAGGGGCTCTTAGTGTGCAGCCCTAATCTTGATAAAAATAGCAAGGAGGTTAGGAGGACTTTAACCCTTTGCCCCCTGCTGTGTTCCTACTCCAAATTAGGGCCTATAAAATACAATGTCTCCCTGCATTTTCTCCACACTATGCATAATGTTATGTTCCTCTCTATACAGCTTGCATAAGTTGATATGCATTACTCACCTTTTTCTGAACTAAAAAGCACCAAACGTTGCAGTGTTTCCTCATAGGAGAGTTGCTTTAGCTTCATGATGGTTTTTGTTGCCTTCTACCAAACCTTTTCCAGCTCTGTAGCTATCTTCCTGAGGTGTGTCAACCAGAACTAATGCAGTATTCCAAGTGTGGTCGTGTTTCAGGTCGACTCATGCAGGAATCAAAGGATCACAGGGTCGGAAGGGTCATCTAGTCCAACCTCCTGCAATGCAAGGGAAGGAGATCTTTCTTGGCTGCTCATCCTGAGGCAATTGCACTTGGCTCCAACCAATGTGCAAACCAGAGATGGGTCCAGGTTTCTGTGGGTCCTCAGACATGGCGCCAATTAGCTAACCCGGAAGAGGCGGGACATGCAAACTGAGAATTCTCTTATGCTGCATCTGATCTTCACTGTGCACAATGGAAATGCTATCATTTCCCTGGGCCCTCTGTCACCAAATGCCCAACTCTGTCACCCTCTGGAGCTGCCCGTGGTGCAAATGGCAACTCACAGAGGCAAACAAATGGGGTTTAAACATTGTTACCGGGGTTTGAATCTTTGCAAATCACGCAAACAGAAAGTCTGAATGAATCAACATGTTTATTCCACTCCTTTCTGCCTTTTCTTGTTTTTCAGGCTTTCGGAGCAGCGACCGACCATCTTGTGGACACCATGTATGTTCAGTGAAATCCAAGATCCCACCTGAGACACTAACATGTTCAGCGACAAGAACAGCACTCCTTTGTCCCAGAAGCCAAGCAAGAAGAAAACAAGGCCGCAGGGTCTCCCTTCCCCAGCTCTTTGCTGCGCCTGTGGACTGTGCATCATGCTCGCAGGCATTAACATCACCCTGGTGGGAGCGTTTGCTTTTGGGACATTCTTGCCTGTCAACAACCCTCCCATTGTCATCGGTCCCATCCTTTTGGTTGTGGCATTCACCTTCTTTGGGGCGTGCTGCATCTGCAGCCGGAGACCTCCTGCTCACGGTGCAAGGAAATCCAAACCGGGGGCCAATATCGGGCTCATCAAACCTGGGAGCACAGCTTTTGAAATTGAAACCAGCGAGCACACAGTTCAAGACACCACGGCCGTGCAACTGAGCCCAACCAACTCCCCCATGTCCTCCAAAAGGTCTACCCCTGTTCACGAGAATTCAAAGACCTGCAAACTTTTTACAATGGATAGCAATGGGCCGGCGGCCAAATACATAGCAGGTGGAGAATCCATACAACTGAATTTGCCCAGAGACATGGGCATGTCATAAAGCCAAACTGGAGAATATTTATGAGTAGCTGGGCAGCAGGCACTTCAGCATGTGACCAGATGGTTAGATGAGCTCGCAGCACACCAAGCATCTGGGATCCAATTTAGTGTTGGCCGACACGTGCATCAGAATATGTTGAGAAATTTAAGGGAAAGGCATAATAAAGTAGCAATTACTTAGAAATCAATGCACAGCTGAAGTGGGAAGTGCCAGGCACTTGTGTGGAAGGACTGGATTTTGAGCAATGAAATTAAAGTGAAAGATGGCACATACGAATCAGCAGGGCACAGCTACTGAAAACAGCACAGCCTCTGGATCTCATTCATTATTTTAATGGGTTTATAAATGATAATATGGTGGTCAGAGTCTGATGATACAAGAACAGTGGGAAATTTATAGATTCTGGTTATTTTTTTAGAAGGAATGTGGACCGTAATGAACATTGAACAAGGAAAAGAAAATTGGCACTCAGATTTTATGAGGTTGATTTGTTTTCTTATTCTGAGGTCAGTGCTTCTTGAGTGCAATTTAAAATCCACCTGGCCTCTTGTTTTGCCCTGCCTTCATACTTTCCTCCTTTTTCACTGCTTGCTGCAAAAGTCACTGGAGGTTCCACACATAAATATCGCCTTGATTGACCTCCTTCCATCCTCTGGTTTTCCGATTCATGTTTTGGTTGTGCCACTGGCAGCAGGCTCACCTGCGTTGGGTTGGGTTTCAGATGGTCCTACAGAGGATGTGCAGGGTAGCAATGGGCAGAGTTGCAAGGTTACAGAGAAAACAGGAGGAGAAATCATGGAAAGACTTTATATAACAGGAAGTGGGACAAAACAACGTTTTATAACTAGCTTGCGACCAGCAGGCTAGTCTGAACATCCACCCATTTGGGAGGAAAATGGCTTGACCAAGATTTGACCTCTGAAACATGGATATGTATAATAAAGAGACATGTGCAGAAATATATGGTGACAAACATTAGTGCACATAATGGAAATTTTGATGTCTTTACATCTTAAGAAGAGTCTTAAATTTGGAGGAAATAATCACTCAAAGCCCTTCTTATGCAACTACTCTATGATATTGGTTGTGAATGAGAGAATGGACATGTTCTCCTCTGCTTGTATCAAAATACCAGACAACACAGTGATTTCAGGGTTAGATGGTCCTTTCCTGAGGTCATTAGAATTGACGATGCTTCAGAGAAATATGTTGTGTGTTGGTTGTCCAATCAATGGCCTCAATCTAACTCAGAAATATTCATTTTTTTAAACTTGCAGATATTATTTGTCCCCTAAAAGTAAAGTGGCCTATTTAGCTGAGACTTCCACATTTTGCTTGGGAGCATCTTTGTACTGTAATAAGAGGAGCGATACAGACTAGGCTACAGTAGGGATGCTCATGACATTTCCCCCATCTGAATTTCTCGCCAAATTTTGGTGTTCCAAACTTCTTGCAGTGATGCCGATGTGTTTGTGATTCTTCCAGTCTTGATTTCTGGCCTTTTTAAAAAGACTATTGGGCATGTACAAATTGCTGGTTCCCCACCCCCTTGTTTTCACCTTCTTATGTTTGCCCTTGCATGTTATCAGTCCACACTGAACATGTATGCACATTAAGGAAGATATTGGGCAACAAACCATTATAACCTGGGATCATGCCTTTCTTCTGTGTGCGGTGACTGAATGAAGGGGAATGCAATGTGAAGGGAAAGTCAGAGGGGAGTAAGAATTGCTGGGAGACAATGATGGTGAAAGAGACAGATGCAGGAGGAGCTGGCAAGGGGTGGGGTGGCACCACAGACCTGTATTGGGATGGAGCAGGGCAAGGCACCAGTGAGGTTGAGGCAGGTGCATCAGAAAGAGCACTGGATTGGCTCCACCAGTGCATCTGCGCCACCTGACTTTGCTGCCACCCTACATCACTCCATCCCAGTATGTAGTAGTGAAAGTGCTGCTGGGAGACCATGTTCACAGCACCACCCCTTCCCTACCAACCACTCTAACAAAGAAGAGAATAAATTAGTGCAGAAGAGCAGAAAAGAAGATCTAAGGGAATGCTCCTAAGCTCCCTAGAGTTGGTCTATTTGACTCCCTCCAATTTGGGTTCAGTGAATAAAATAAGGCACATCCTCCACATCTTCTGTTCTGTTTGGCATGAGCCAGCAGTGCTGGCTCTGTTGTACATCTGTCAGAAAGGTAGGCTTGCCCCACAGTAATCCTATGTGTTTTTTCCTCAGAAGTCCCACTAAGTTCAGTGGGTTGTATCTGACTTATCCTCATAGTAGACCCACCGAAATCGAAGGAGAAGTTAGTCTGTCCAACTTAAGTCCGTTGATTTTAATGGGTCTGCATATCAATGATGTCAGTGAGTCTGTGTTCAATGAATATGACATAGGTGGATACAACCCACAAGGTCTTACACCCTAGTAAATAGGTTCATTTTCTGCACTGTTGATAGTTATCATTTATTTGTTTACTGTGCATATTTGTGTTATAAAAGGGATATTTCTCAAGGGTCCATCAGTTGCTTACCACCTCTTACCTCGAACTGAAAAGGTATGTTTAACAACAGAAAGAAATTCTGAGGCAATCATCCCGTCTCTCACCGGTAACCTGTTAAGGAAGGTGACATGTAAACCAAAAAGTGCAGCGAAGTACATAACCACCAATCTTCCTGAAACTGATAGTGGAAGTTCCTCAAGAGAAGCTGATATGATTGAAGTAAGTAGCTGAACCCACTCATGGAACAATGCCTGAATGAATAGGGTGCACTGGCCCATCTCTCATACCAAGGGGGTTCACACAGGCACTCCTGCAACTGTGGGGACTACAGGGTTGTGTGCAGGATAGGCCCCTTCTCATAGTTGCGGAACATGTGACAAGTGGGGTAGGCGGCTGGTGGGTGCTGGCCTGCACCAATCCCCCTCATGTATGCTTTTAAGGTGTGAGGGGCTTAATCTGAACCTTCCAGAGAGAAGAGAGATTTAGAATCCATTCACATTTGGAAGAATAGTCTTCAAAGACAACTTTCATAGTCTAAGATGCAGCACTAACTAACAAGATGCTCCCTACAAGTGTATCCTGAGAAGTTGGATGTAATAAGATCCAAGTGCTTATTACGCTAGTACTTAATTGTTGTTGAGATTTAACACTGTAAATGCACCCTGAAATTAGCACAAATTGTAGCAAAGAAAAGAGCCCGAAATATGTGATGATGCATTGTTTTAGTGAGTAAGCCCATGCATGTTAAGGCTGACTACTAAATGTTAGTAATTTTCTTCATTGTCACCTTGATCTAAATATTTTCTTCAGTACATCATGGAGAAAAATGATATTGCCCATTTTAGGGAGGTCTGCATTTAAGGTCCCTATTGTCAATTTGTACAACAAGTTGCTTAACTCCATTTTCTTCTAATGGTGGAGAACTTTGAAACAATCCAAAAGCAAGTGGATTTGTGTTATTTTTCAAATTCATTTCTTGTCTTCAGAAACTGAATGTTTTGGGGGAGTGGGGGCATTTTGCACAGTAAGCAAAACAAAAAACAAAACAGCTGCCTGAATTACTTTTAAAAATGGGGTGTTGGGGTTGGGGTAGAAGGCACTTTTGTTCCCGTTAGAAACATGTTGAATTATGTCAATTTCATTGTGTGAAATGCTTGTGGCCAGTCCTGTACAGAAGCACAGTCTTTGGAGTTAACATGTGGTCATGCTTCTGGTGACAGTTTCCATGTTTACAAAAGCAAGTGACTGTTTAGCACGTGTTCAGTGCTGCCCTTTGGACTTTCCATGTGTTCAATAAAATATATTCAGATATTTCCTTAGTCTTCTGCAGCCAGACCTGAGCAACCTCATTCTTATCAATCAATGCATCATGCCGTAACCTTGGGAGAAGCAAGGTATACATTGGATGTTGTGAAAGAGGTCCATATATTATCAATGGCATATGATGGGTTACCTAAGAACTAGAGATGTGTGTGTGTGTGTGTCGGTCTAAACACTACAGCCCCATCAAAACAATTTGCAACATGATCTACTTTGGCCTGCAGTCTGTTCTGATTCACCATTTGATCAATGCATCACTGGAAAACGTAAAAGTCACTCAGAAACTACTCAACCAAGTTCCTTAAAGAAGGAGGTGGTTGATCTTATGAAATCAAGAAACCTTTTAGGCCTGCTGGATAGTTTGATGGCTCTGTTAATTGCACTTTTAACTTCCGATCTGACTGCTTGAGAACCTAGCCTTTTAGAGCAGCGCAACACTTGGAGCTGACTAACGGCTTCGATTTTTGGACCTATTATGTATAGGGTCCAGAAGGATAAATACAATGTCATCTTGACACTGTGGACAGAGGCGGATTTAGGCAGCATGACTGGTTCTGCTGCACTGGGTGGCGAGCATAGGGGGCACTGCAGGGCAGCACAGCTATGATGTAGTAGTGAATTGAGCAGAATGGAAGGTGAGCAGGGAGGGCAAATTGATCAGTACACAACCTGCTCAAAGCAATCCCTCCACTACAGATTTCCAAAAGCAGGATAGGAGCCTTGTGGGTAGCTTAACAAGCTATATGAAGTGGGTGTGAAAACCAAAAGTACATGAGGCTACTATGGGGAAATGAAAGGAAATTTTTAGGGGACAAGGTGATAATGACAGTTGGGAATAGGGATCAGGGAGAAATTCAGTTAGCTTCACATTTTAATGCAAAACTACCCAATTCATACTTCCAGAAAGAATTTGCAAACCAACCACAGATATTCTTCAAAATTTGCACTTCCCTGAATGTGGCTATGTAGGTCTGCAAGCAAACTATAGGCACAAAAAAGCAGACATCAGGGGAAAGTGTGCATAAAAATCCACATATCGGTACAAACAGCACCTGAAAATGAGTAGTTGTTTTAAAAAATAAGGCTTACAAAAATTGTACATTAGGCAAAATTGCATACAAAAAGCTGTGTATATGGAGAAATGTGCCGTAAAATGATGATGTATCCTTGTGAAGGCTT